TATCAAGTGTAGTCGTGCAAGAGTAAGGAAGATGTCATTCATTTGCAGACGAATTTTTCGCTCTTCTTCATGGCAGTTGTCATTATTTCTGAAAAATTAGTATTGTTCAAACTTATCTTTGAACTGTTCATATGTAGTTCTGAATGTCATATCAAAAAGACAAAAATCTCACCACGAAGCAAGGGTCAGCTCTGCTATGTTTCTAGAAGCATTTGGGGTTAACCACATGCGACTGCCACTTGCGGCTTCGACGTCCTACTTGAAAATCCGCGAAAGCCTGGATTGAAGTGAGCAACGATTCATCAATGAAAACTAAAGGGTTTTGATATTCCGATGCTGTAGTGATGTACCTGCAATATTATCGATCAATTGCATGACACAATGTGTGTGGATTAGCACAAAGGTCAAACACGTCAATCTTTACTGTCTGCATTCACCCCTTTGCAACAGACTCACTCTCCTACCTGACAACTGATGATGAGAGCCTTCTCTGATCCTTCAGTCGCAATGTGGACACAATTTCTCCGAGAACTGCTCATCGGATTGTGGAAAGGTGCGATAGTGGCAAGATTGGATAATCACTGAATTGCTGAAACCTGAATTTGTCTTCAACGGAAGCAAATGAACAAGATGGGCGGAAGAGGTGACCATTGTCACGACCCTTCGGGATCTTGGTGTGCACATCTGAAATTTGATTTTTTTGCATTTGAAAAGTAGTTCACAGATATTTCCAGAGGACAAAAGCAATCTCGAATAAGTATAAAACAAAAACATTTTTGACAAAAAAATTATTCAGAACCAACTCAGAATGCTGTTTTTGAGAATCAAAAGAAACATAGAAGAATTGAAAAATTGCAGAGGACATATAAGATATTGTGGAGGGCCAGTTAATTGGGAATCGTTAAATCGGATAATCATAGTCGTTGAAAATTTTGGGTTTTTCAACTGGGGGAAAGATGAGGAAACAGGTTATATTTTTCAGTATCTTATGAATTATTGTCTCTCCTGATCTTTGCTTTTCAAAAATTTGGACCTATTTTTACGACACGGACTGAATCAATAACTTTTGTCCGCACTGTAAAAGACTAGTAGAATCAGAAAGCCGGAAACCTTGATTTGGAATATCACAAGAATGTGCCAAAAATTATTCAATGAACGATAATTTGTATTAAATTTGAAAAGAATGTTCAATTCATTTAGAAACGGTTAAAAAAAAACAAATAATAATACATTTTTATTCAAGTATAATAAATTTAGTTAATCCATAATTAATGATAGCATATGTTTCGGCACTTTCTGAAATGAAAAACATGATATGCGAATTTCTAAATTTGACGATCTTATGAGTATTTTCTTGATCTTCTTCTTCTGATTCTTTTTTTTCCGATTCTTCTTCTTCCGATTCTTCTTCTTCTTCTGATTCTTCTGATTCTTCTGATTCTTCTGATTCTTCTGATTCTTCTGATTCTTCTGATTCTTCTGATTCTTCTTCTTCTTCTTCTGATTCTTCTTCTTCTTCTGATTCTTCTTCTTCTGATTCTTCTTCTTCTGATTCTTCTTCTTCCGATTCTTCTTCTTCTTCTGATTCTTCTTCTTCTTCTGATTCTTCTGATTCTTCTGATTCTTCTTCTTCTTCTGATTCTTCTTCTTCTTCTGATTCTTCTTCTGATTCTTCTGATTCTTCTGATTCTTCTGATTCTTCTGATTCTTCTGATTCTTCTGATTCTTCTGATTCTTCTGATTCTTCTGATTCTTCTGATTCTTCTTCTTCTTCTTCTGATTCTTCTTCTTCTTCTGATTCTTCTTCTTCTGATTCTTCTTCTTCTGATTCTTCTTCTTCCGATTCTTCTTCTTCTTCTGATTCTTCTTCTTCTTCTGATTCTTCTGATTCTTCTTCTTCTTCTGATTCTTCTTCTGATTCTTCTGATTCTTCTGATTCTTCTGATTCTTCTTCTGATTCTTCTTCTTCTTCTGATTCTTCTTCTTCTGATTCTTCTTCTTCTGATTCTTCTTCTTCCGATTCTTCTTCTTCTTCTGATTCTTCTTCTTCTTCTGATTCTTCTGATTCTTCTTCTTCTTCTTCTTCTTCTGATTCTTCTGATTCTTCTGATTCTTCTGATTCTTCTGATTCTTCTGATTCTTCTGATTCTTCTGATTCTTCTTCTTCTTCTGATTCTTCTTCTTCTTCCGATTCTTCTTCTTCTTCTGATTCTTCTGATTCTTCTTCTTCTTCTGATTCTTCTTCTTCTGATTCTTCTTGTTCCGATTCTTCTTCTTCCGATTCTTCTTCTTCTTCTGATTCTTCTTCTTCTTCTGATTCTTCTGATTCTTCTTCTTCCGACTCTTCTTCTTCTTCATCATCTTCTTCTTCCGATTTTTCTTCTTCATCTACTTCTTCCAATTCTTCTTTTTCATCTTCTTTTTCCGATTCTTTCATCTTATCACCTTTTGGTCAGATTTTGACCAGATTATATATACAACTCCTCCAAGTTTACGATTCCGATGTGTTGAACGAAAACATCCTTTCGAAGAATGACATAGTCCAAATGGGCCTTCCTAACAACTGATAGAAAATCTTTCCGAACTTTTCAGCGTACAATAATTCTTGGTCGGTAAGTTCGTTTCCGTAATGTCGGCTTGTCAAAAAGATTCTCTTGATTTTCGGAAAAGTATTCTTCATCATTTTCTGGCAGTCTCAATTTGAAAGAAGTCGAACCATAATCCTTTGTGGTCCATCTTATCTGCATCAATTCCCTAGTCTGTGAACAAAGTGACTTCACCATTGAATGAGGCTTCTTTGAGACAAATAAGTCGACAATCCTGAAATAAAATAAATGTCAATACAAACTTTTGAGAGAACGAAAAACTGGAAAATGGCCCTACATGGTGAAACCACTTTTTCGTATTTTTGAAATACTTAACAAAACAAAAAAAAACTAGAATTAAAAGGGTTAATTAATTTTATGTATTTTTCGATGTAGTGCTTTTCAAAAATGCTCATTTTGCAAAAAAAAAAATTATCAGGTTTTTTTTTCTGAATACCACATTATTCAAACGTAATTTGCTGACTCACATTAAAATCTCAATTATGTGACATAGAAGAATATGTATGACTTTAAGCATGATAGAATTTTCACGGCCACGGCCTAATTTTTTTGGAATTTCTAGGTCACCTGAATTTTTGGGTTTCTAAATAGCGCATTATCCAAACTTATTTTGTTGACTCACCTCAATTATGTGACGTAAAAGAATACGTAGAAATTGAAGCATTATAGAATATCTAATAATAGGAATAGTTTCAAAAAAATCAATAGGAATAGATTCCTGACGTCCATACAAAAGGACGTCTGGAAATCTATTGGGGTAGAGAGAGAGAGAAATGAATACTAGTGGTTGCTACCGGACAGTTTATATAGGCAGAGTCGGGGGCGGAGCTTTCACCCCGTCTTCACCTTTCCACAGATTTATGCCGTCATCAGGACTCATAGTTCTGATTTATGACTGTATTCTTTCAATTAAACTAACCAGAAATACAGGGTGCGCCAAAATTATTGGAACACATTCAAAGTGCTGTAACTTCTCCGAAATTACTCGAATAGACTTGAAAATTTCACCATAGTTTCCTGAATACTTTCTAAAAATTATGTCCTCAAAGTTGTTGGACACGGTTGTCTTTTTTTCTCACAACATCCATGAGTCTCTTCGGGAACGCCTCTATTGCGGCACGGAGGTATTTTGACGGTAACTGGGCCCGTCATGGGTTTCCACTTTTTCCCAATCACTCCAAATTGGGATTTGGACGTGCTGGGACCCCCGAATTTTGAAAAGTTGGGCGTGCACCCTGGTTGAACGCTTTTTGCCATGTGAGCGTTAACAGAATCCCACTGAACAGTATAAACATGGTTTGTAAAGTAGAATTCGGTCCATAGAAGCACATTCCTCTCAAAAATGTAGTGCTTTCAGTACGTTTTGTTGATACTCACCAAAAAATCTGCAAAAAATTGAATTCGGAGGGTTTTGTGCCAAAAATTTTGACGTTCTGAGGATATGAAGCTCTGTTGGTCATGTCACTATGCTTATTAGATAGCTCAGATCTCAGGCAAAAAACTCTACGGTTTCTTGATAAGGATTCGACCTTCACCGTCAAGAGTTTCTCGTCGCCGAACATCATCCTCATACGTTCATTTTGGCGCGTGCCAGCAAACGTCGATTTGCATTTCTGGATACGTACCAGATTGTTATTTCCCGACAAAACTTCAGCCTTTTGAACACGATATGGGGTCAGTCCGAGCTCACTTTCGACAATTGTGCTGACTGACTTACTGCTCACTTGGAGCACCAGGCTCATTTTTTCATGATTCGGTGCAAATTTCGACAAACTCGTTCTCTGACGGTCTTGATTCTCTCCAAGATTATAAAGGTTTGAAATCTTAAGTATTTTAGAACGGTTAGAAACATTCGATGGTTGTCCACTAGGTTTTTCGTTTGATTCCCAGAGCTTTTCCTATGCTGCTTGGGCCCACCCTCCTCTTGAGCACCTCGACGAGGGTACCTTGGTGTATAGAACTAGGCACCATTCGTGTGAAAGTCAACCAAGAGACTTGAAAATTTAGGAATAATGTAATTAAGACATGCTGAAAATGATAGAAATAAAATCATTGCCCGAAAAATGTTTCATCGCCCTCCACCTTGCTCTAAACTTTTGTTGCAATAATTTTGGCGCACCCTGTAGATAAGTATTGTCCCAGGAGGCGTATCTATTTTGAAGAGGTAAAGTGAGGAACAATAGAGTGTACATAACTTGAGATAATTAAAGTTTTATGGTCTGCATACACTCAACTGTGATTCTGGGAATGAGAATGATGTGACAAATGGGAATATGTGTAAAACGTTTTAAATCGCTTTTTGGAAATAATGATTTTTCTCTAACAAGAATCTCATCTTTTTCACAACTCCATTGCTGAATTTTTGAGAAATAATCAGTAAAAACAAAAACATTATAGGTCACCATAGTTTAGGAAGAAATTGATTATTCTTTTTTCTGCAAACACCTTCAACTTTTTCATTTGATTTCAAATCCAATTCAGACTGTTTCACTTTTTCCGTTTGTTCTCAAACCATAAATTCCAATGTTTTTTCCTTATTTTAGTTAAACTAGCCTCTTTTTTTTCCTTTTTTTAAAACAATCTTTTTTTAACTTTGGCAAAGTGAACAATGCTTTGACTACTCGATCAACAGTTTTTCAAGAGTATGGAATTTGAGCGGAATGAGAGATTTTGGAGATTCTGAGGTTCTGAATATCGAAAACTCTCAAGTTACTGTAAATTCAGAGATTTCTGATGTTTTGTCTGAACTGTAACGGTGGACGTGGTCGTCCCGAACTGAAAAGTATCTGATATGGTTCTATGGATGTCAGTCCGGATGTCTGTCTGTATAGATGTCTAAATTTTTAGATTATCTGGAAATTCTGAAAAAAACTGGAAAACTATCTAAATAATAACAATTTCATTTAAATAATACGAACACACAAAATCCTGATCTCACTGAACCAACGCCTCCGATTCCACATCCAATGCCTTGGTTGCTTCGTCAAGGATGAGAACCCGAGGATTGCGAAAGAGGGCTCTGGCGATTCTCTGCTTTTGACCTCCCGACATCTTGACACCGCACTTTCCACGCAGAGCATCCTATCCATCTTCCATCCCAGCCACAAACTCATCCACATTTGCCATCTGGTGTGCCATCTAGCAGGATTCTTAGAGAAGACGTTTGGTAGTACTGTTGAAACAGATTCAGAAGCCTCGATTTTCCATTTCCACTAGGGCCAAGTAGAGCGACAGTTTTTCCTGACTCCAGACACAAAACTGATTCCATTGTGAACATTTAAAGATGGTCGGGTGGAGTAGGCAAATTCGGCGTTGTCAAATACAATCTGGCCAAGCACCGGATGAGCATATAATATCGTTGAACGTCTGAAATGAAAATCCGTTGAAAAAATAGAAATAGTTGAACTATTAGAGACATATTCGTCTAATGCTTAATTATAATCTTCAGAATTTCGGGATTTTTGAACTTCAAAATTTCAGAATTTTCGAATGTTCGAAGTTTTGAAGTTTCAGAAATTCAAAAATTCATTATTCCAAAATTTCAAAAATTCCGAGTTGCAAATGTTTTGCAATTTGCAAATTTTCGAATGTTCAAATATCGAAATCTCAGAATTTCAGAACTCCAGATTTTTAGAATTTTCGAAATCTCAGAATTTACAATATTTTCAGAGTTACAGAGTTTCAAAATTACTGAACTTCAGAATTCACAGAATTTCCAGATTTACAGAGTTTCAGAACTTCAGATTTTCAGAATTTCAAAAATTCGGAATATTAAAAACTTGGAGTTTTAAATTTTCAAAATCTCCGAATACCAGAATATCAGAATTTCAGAATTACAAATTTCAGATTTTCAGAATTTTAGAATTTCAGAATTTCAAAATTTCAAACTTCAAAAAAAAAAAATTTCCGACTCTAAAAATTTTTAGAGTTTGAGAATTTGAAACTTCTAGAATATCATTATTTTAAAACACTTTTTGAAAATGATGATTTTTCTTTCACAATGATCTCACCTTCTTTCGACTCCATAGCTAAATTTTCAAAAAAATCAGTAAAAATCAATAAAATTGAGGCCACAAAAATTCAGGAAGTAGCCATTGTTGTGTAGAAATATGAATGATTTATGTTGGGTAAAAGAGAGGACACTGGGACACGAGTGATAAGAGACGCAGATACTTGATCACCCGAAAAATAAAATAGAACGCTAGTAGGGGAGACGGAGCTATGTTTGTTTTATTCACGGTCAGCTATATGATTTTTTTTTTGCGTTTCTTTGGTGCTCAGAGACGCAGAATAGAAAGCTCTTTCTTCGAAGTCCTCGAAAAATGGTTTGAGATTGTTTGAATCATCTGTAAAAAACACGGAAAACGTATATATTTTATTCAAATTATTTTCATTTTCAGAAACACACGGATTATATGTGATGTTCTTTACATCTAGACCTCAACTTGTTCGAATTGATAAAATAATATAAGAGCTGAAAAATATAATATTATTCGAACGCATTCCTGTATTTAATCCAAATTCTTTTTTTATAATTTCTTCATAATATTATATCCTGAACATGAAACTCTCCGGATCACAGTGCCTCGATCCACAATTGCGCCAACGTGTCGCCTGTTGTCAGTCGAGACCGATCCTACGTCCTAACCCGAGAGTGTCTGCAACCTGAAATGACCCCCAACTCCCCCCAAATGTGTAAGATAAGCGGTGCAAAGGAAATAACAGTACACAAAGTATTCAAATCCAAGTTTATTAATGGAAAGGGATTTGAATAAACGGCAAAGACAACTGAATTGGGAAAAGAAAGCAAGAACAGAAAAGAAGTAAAGGTGTAGGGCTAAAACCTCCTGGGAGCTACCGGAGGAAACCTTGCTGCCTTCTAAAACTGGTGCTAACAAACCAAAACGATGGCAAACGTAGAAAACTAGCTGAAAGGTTATAAAAGGTTAAAACGGGACCGCATAGCGGTCAGCTCTTGGTGAGATACGAACACTCGCTTCGCCGCAGCGAAGACTGAGTAACGACGGGCGGCGTCTTCAAATGGTGCGGCGGAGCGCACTTGTGTTTTCAGTGTTAATTTTCAGAGATTTCTTACAGATAGCGATATCACAGCTCAAACAGAATGAAAACCATGGGAACACCTACGAATTGTAGAGAATAAAACTCTTAATCAGATTTTAATAGTTTTCGCTGTTAAAAATTTTTCGGCTTTGCGGAAACGTGCCTTTTCTGAAAAAAGTCCAGCTTTTCATACTTTTTTAAAGGTTTTCGTTTTTCAGTTTCATTTAACTACAAAACAAAAGAAAATACATTCCTGAACAGAAAATCTCAAAATCCAGTCAAATATTTCTAGGTTGACTGTCATATCAAGCGAGAGGAACATATGAGAATGTTGTTGGAGAACGGAATTTGTTTTCATCAATTTCCATGAATTTCAGGCAATTTCGTCGGTTCACAAGAGTGATTTTGTACATTTTCGATCATTAATTACTATTTTTGAACTGATTTGATGTAGTAGATAAAGTTTAGCTGAAATTTGAATTGTCGAACTCCCCCTATAACTCAGATTGAGTTGTATTGACCATTTTCTTGCTGGAAACTTTCAGATTCTGTACGAAATGGCATGAAAATGATGCCGTGATAAGTTTTTAAGCATTCTCCTTACCGTTTCAATTTGATTCTTCCGGGAGAAATCAGGTTTCTCAATGTAGCTCTAAATTAACAGAACCAGGCTATTCATAACTTGTATTCATGAAAATCTTCTTTGAATTGTCTTTTTTCAAAAACACACGTATGATATTAATCATAGAAACCAAACTCAGAATGTTGACTCAAAAATGAAAAACTGGACTTTTTCCGAAAAGGCACGTTTCCGAAAAGCCGGGAAATTTTTAACAGCGAAAACTATTAAAGTCCGATGAAGAAATTTTTTCTCTACAGTTCGTAGGTATTCCCATGTTTTTTCATTCGGTTTGAACTGAGATATCGCCATCTGAAAAAAAATATCTGAAATTTAACACTGAAAATACAGGCGCGCTCCGCCGCACCATTTGAAGGCGGCACGGTGGCGCAATAGCGGATCGGGGCACTGTGCGGATTAGCATTGCCTTTGACCGTTATTAGATGTACTGATATTATACGGAAGAAAGTTAAAAAATGGAATATGGCGTGATATAAAATTGTTGTTGAGATTTTAGGCAGATATCCAGTTTTTTGAAACTTTTAAATAGTTCAGATAGTCTAGAAATTCAGACATATACAGACAGAAATCCGGACAAACATCTGTCGAGCCCTACTAGATTCTGCCGATGCAGTTTAGACAGAGTTCAGTATTTCAAAATTTCAGAACTTCAGAACCTCAGCATCTTCAAAATCTCAGATTTCGCGTAATTTTTTTTTAGCTTAGCGTTCTCTCTTCTGTGCCACGTCAACCATTCCTAGTGTGCACTAATCCCTGAAATTTCGTAGCCTAAATTCTTTGAATTTGTATGATAATTTCTGAAAAAATTGCCATGTAGTTTGGAAAAAAAATTGTGAGGCTATTGTTAGAGAAAAATCATTATTTCAAAAAAGTGATTTTTAAAAAACATTGTATAACATATTTTCATTCGTCAAGGCATTCTTCTTTCAGGAATCGCAGTTGAGTGTCTGCACACTATTGATTTTTTATTATCTGCAGTTACACTCTATTGTTCCATAAAACAATGACTGTGTTTGTGAATCAGACTATAAATCTGTGGAAAGGTGAAGACGGGGTGAAAGCTCCGCCCCCGACTCTGCCTATATAAACCGTCCGGTAGCAACCACTAGTATTCATTTCTCTCTCTCTCTACCCCAATAGATTCCCAGACGTCCTTTTGTATAGACGTCGGGAATCTATTCCTATTGATTTTTTTGAAACTATACCTATTCTGAAACATTTTATAATGCTCCAATTTCTACGTATTTTTTTTCGTCACATGATTGAGTTTTTAAGGTGAGTCAGCAAAATACGTTCGGATACTGCTCTATTTAGAAAAAAAAACGTTTTCCGAAATGATCATTAAAAAACCATCTAAATCGGAAAAGTTAGAGAATTAAATCCAAATCTTTCAGCTTCCAAAAACTCTTTTAATCTCTGGTTTTTTAAATTTTGTTAAGGAAATTTATTTATTCGAAAAATATGGTTTCTTCACGTATCAATTCAAAAAATGAGATTTCTCCGTGAGTTAATGGCAAATAACACTCAACATTTCGCGATTTTTTGTTCCCTGTTTTTGTGCATTTTTGAAGCTCTTAGGTTTTCACTGTATATAGACTTGGTAACAATTTTGGCTTTATTCTAGTTTAGAGGTCCGAAAAAAAATTAAAGGTCCCAAAATAAAATAGAGGTCCAAAATTTGAAAAACGCACAGATATTGGAATAGTGTACCAGAGTTTGGAGGTTTGAATTTTGAGGCTCTATAAGATGATAAATGCGGAAGCTTGACTATTTTAAACATTTTCGCCTCCATTTCTGTTTTGTCTTTCTGATGGATCCTTTTATTGAGAAGAATACTAACAGAGATGCCTCACTGTCCATGTCTCGCTTTCCGTATGAAAAAAATGCGTTGTAAACGTGATTCTTTTTCCAGAAATGCCAAATCGTCGTGTTGCAAGACAACGCAAGAACGCTACTTCTCATCAAGGGACATCCAAAGGAATCAACTTGAAGAGAAGAAGACTATCTGACTCTTCTGAATCCGAATAAAAACAGGATGTTCAGGGAGCGAAGTAATTATACGGAAGAACAAAGAGAGATTCTACAGGCAATGCTTTGTGAAACACATCATCCATAAGAAGAGCAGAAGAAAAATTATTATTCATCTAGCACGATGCAATGTTTGGTTTTGATTTTTAATAAATTTTAATATGACAATCACAAACCTCTTGAAGAATCCTATTGAAACTGATCCGTTTCAAACGAATTCTAAAATGTCAAAGACATTTTCCTTCAGTCCACGAAGTATTGTAAGTGGATTGAAGTATTTTGGCAACTTCAAGAACCAGGTCGATTCGTACGTTTTGAAGGACTAGCGTCGGAACTTTTGGAACAGAAAACAAATTAGTTCCGTCCTCCACAATTTGGCAAAACGTTTTT